AGCTAATCAGATTAATCTTCTTTCATTTCAAGCCAATCAGATTACATCTCATCCTTTACCAGCCAATCAGATTAATCTTCATCAATTTTTAGCCAATCCTGTATCATTATAATGTTTTATCAACAATCTTTGTATCATAATCGTGTAAATATATTCTATTTTTGAACAAGAATGAAATAAGTGACACCCATTTGTCATTCAAAGTATTGTAATCTAAATATCAATTTTGTTCAAAACTTATTTACTAGAAAAATATACTGATAATATTGGCATGTAATAATAGTCGATACAACAATCATCAAAACAATTTGAATTATGAAAAAAAAACTAAAATTATCCATGTATTTCTAAACACATTTCTAAATATTTTCATTATGATACTTCCCTGGCATAAGCGAAATGAGTCTGAGCATGTAAAATCACTGGAAGGAAAAATGAAGGTTGGAAAAGTTGGGCATATACCATATATATAAGACCACCTCAACAACTTTAAATCATTTTCTGTTTAACATTGTAACCAATGTTATATTTAACGTACTGGTGTCCATTTCCTTATTTTCAAAAAGACAAAGTTGTTGAAGTTGACAACATGTTATTAAGAAACACACATACTCAAAATAGACTGGGCTGTGTTAGAAAATAAAAATTCATTACTCTGCATAGACATGTTATAAACTATAATTACGTAGAGAAAAAAACAGACTTGTGATAAAACAAACCCAAGTAGATGGCAACAGCAGCATATGCGAAAAACAAACATGGCGGCGTCCTCATTTGTATACCAATCACAATTTTCATGCAATGAAACACACTTTTTACATTCAAATTTTAATAAACAAAATCTTTATTTTTAAAATTAAACTCATTATTGATACCTGGTAAAGGAGGTAAAGGCTTATGTCTGGGGGGGGGGGTACATTAAAAGTTTTAAGAAGTCAATAAAAAGTAGAATATAATGTCATAAAATAACTGTTATTCTCACCATGTTCAGAATACAAAGCAGTGTACAGTTACCATGGCAACAGTAATAATGAACTGTCATTTAGTTCTGGTGACATTATCATTGTATTAGAAGAATGTGACAATGGATGGTGGCGAGGTAACCATGACAACACCCAAGGATGGTTTCCAGGCTCCTATGTGCAGGTATATACATTTTCTTGTGACTTCACACTTTACTAACATTATAAATGACATCCGCCGACTGAATATAAACCCTATTTTTTTTCTTAGCCTTGTGATGATGAAAATGGTGATGTAAATGATGCACAGGCACCTCACAATGTTGATCAACCTGACGGTAGAAAGCAACCTTATGGCGAATTTGAAGTTATCCCCCAGTTAATGGAAGCTATGAAAGCAAGGGGTAAGTGTGAGTAAATCATGCAGTTACAGTTGTCCTGCAACTATGAAATTTAAAAAATTAAAACATGCCACAGTATTGTGCTTTTCAAATTTTATGTTAACAAAATAATGCATTTTACATGCAATTTAAACAATGCATGTGACCAGTGTTTAAAAACTCACAGGCAGATCCATGCATCAGGGGATGTGAACTGCAATATATTACAATAAGGTCGGCCCAATAAGACTGCTCCATGAGTCGGTTGACGGTCGTAAAAAAATGATGAATAATGTTTAAAATGTCAAATGTTTTTACATTAGTCATCAAAACTACACAAAACCTCATGTGTATCTTCCATTTTCATTTTGTGCTCATGTATTTTCCTTGTGGGCCAAGAGCGTTTATGCGGGACCAAAAAACTTGTAGGCCCCGGTCACCTTTAATGGCAAACACTGAATTGGGTTTTGTATAAAACTCAATTTGGCAACTTGACAACTGTGGGATTTTTAGATCTGTGTTATTTTTTTAAGTCTTTATTATTTTTATGTAGAATAACAGTAATATTGATGTTCTATTAAACTTACAAACATTATTGTCATTACTTTTTTTATTAAAATATTATTTGCGTGTTGCCTTTTCAGGCTTGACTTCACCAAAACGAAGAGCTCCAGAACCACCTGTTGGTCAGAAGAAGGCAAAGCCACTGAGCCCAGACAGAACAAGCATGCAGAGCTATACAAGTGAAGGTCTATTGTCTCCTAGAACGCTTGTACCAAGACCGAATAATGCTGCAATGCGATTGGCTGAACGGCATGAAAACAAAAGGATAAGCATTGCCAGCTTGGGAGAAGAGAACGGTTTAGAAATAACACCTGGTGGCAGATCATCTATGAGGCTTGTAAAAATCAAAGCAGAAGCTGTTAAAAAGGGGGCAGAGTCAAGATATCAAGAAGCGCCCTCAAGGCCGACACCACCACCTCCGGAGGCTATCAGGAAATACACTCTGAAAGGTCGGAAAGAGTTGGCTCAGAAGGACAAACAAAATGATTCTGTAGTTGTTGACGAAAAAATTGTTCCAAAACCAAAACCTAGAGAAAGAACTTCAGATAGAAATGGTTTATCTGTTTCTGATAGTAGTGCCAGATTACCGCAGGCTAGTGATAGAACTGTTACATCGTTACCAGAGAAGTTTAACAAACCACGGTCAAGAAAACCGTATTACGAAAATGTGTCATTCAGTCCAGGAGAATCAAATGCCAGACCGAGAGTTTCACCGAGGTCAAATGTCGGTGGAGTTCAATCATCAAAGGCAGCAGTAACACACAAAGCTGATCATTCAGCAACACAGCTTGTAAGACGACCACAACCGACATCCAGACAACTACAAAGCGAGAGACCCCGATCATCATCTTTTAACGATATTGAAACTTATACTGAACATTACGACACTCGCAGACGGTCTGGTACATTGATGCATAAGTCTGATATGCACATTGCACATTCACCTTCATATTCGCCAGAAAGACAACAGGCATCACCATCACCACGTAACCATGACGATTCTACTTATATGAATCTGCAAATGATAAATGATATGAACCGGCCAACTCCGGTCCCAAGAACACGCTGGTCACTGGTACTGTCTGGTGAGTGTAGATTTTGTTCTCTGGATAGAAATTGTGTTTATTAAATATTATATATAGATTTGACTATTAAATTCCATTGCACATTCAGTATTTGTAGCATTGTTGTTTGGCATATTATTAAGTTGATTAATAAGAAAGGTCATCCAATATGAATTAACGCTATCTGCCTTGCAACTGAAGACACATGTGTCATTGTTTCTCTACACTGTGTTGATACAATAATCTACATCGTTTAGTTATTGTTCATTCTGCGTTTTTGAGCTACACCATCAGCACTACTTTTGACAAAAATATCATGATAATCAGGTGACACCATTACAAAGTATGTATTCTGTTGCTTCAAATTAAAGTAGTCGGAACTGAACAACACACAAATTTAGATTGAGTGTGAGGCATACATTCACTATTCTCTGTATAAGCGCTGGAATTTCTCATTTAAATATTAATACATTTCTTCCACAGACGACTCAAATATTCCAGAGCCTTCTCCAAGACAAACGCCTCTAGCACTTAGTCCAATACCTATAGATAGATATTATTCACCGCCACACGAGGAGGACACGTCCAACTTATATGAGAATATCAACTATGCAGCTGTTATTAATGAGAGAACAGCCGGAGATGGAGCTGAGACTGTGAGTGGTGCAGTCAGTGTAAATCACGGGTAAGTACATTTTAATTTTTGAGAAACACAAATGTTTGTGAATGCAATTTGGTAAATTTGAGATTTTGAGATTTAAATTTTGTCCTCAAGTATGCCTTTAAATAATCAAATTGCGAAAATTGTGAGAAAACTATCTACGGCATTTTGATTTATGAGCATGTGTGTCTAAAGATGTACTGGATTGGATACGATAGTAAGTTTTTTTACCAATAATTAAAATTAGTTGTTACAGGCTGTCAGACTTAAAACGTGGTGAGTTCCTTGTACAGAGTTTGCTGTGATTACAAAGAAATCACTGCTCTGTTTATTTCAATGTGTTTCCATCCCATAGTTTCACTGTTCTTGAGTAATGGTGGAAGGTTTCAAAAGCAGGATGTGACAGCGAGTTATGACATCGTACAAATGTTTTAAAGTGGAATATCTGTAAAGTGTACTTGATTTATTGATCATAGAGCACATCACTTCTATAAATATATATGCGGAAAGTATATGTGGAAAGTACATAGAGGTCGTTGCACAATCAGAAGAGATGACAATAGCATTCAGTGTTGGGATCTGCGATCTGGCATGAACATATTTGAAAAATAGGAAATTCAATTCTGTGACTATTTTGATCGGAGTATGCCTTTTTATATAGTTAAACAGTATCTAAGACTTTCACTATGGCAAGGTGGCATATTAATAAAAATCAAACTAAAATTAACTGAAAAAAACCTCAAGCAAATGCCCAACCTTGAGTAAACTGAAATCAGAATCTCATTGTTCATTCATTCATTCATTCCTGATTGCATGAAACAGAAAAATAAAGTAGTGTATTCTGATTATCTAAAAGAGCAATTTCAGTGATTTTCCTTACCAGATGCATAACCATGAAATGTGGTTTGCATACTGAATTTAGAAATGATTTCTTGTATACATCCAGGGCTACAGTTTAATTAACAAGGTTGTTTATTTTTATTTACCAAAATCAATGAAAAAAATATTTTCCATATTTTGAC